ACTCACAGCTGGAAAGGATTTCCCTGCTGATTAATCTAAATAACCACAGGTCACCCTTTCCCTGCAGTATGATTTCTGACAGCATGCCTAACTGACAGTATATTTCATCTTCCTAATATTCTGGTTGTGATTTTTCTTTTTTTCTTTTTTCTTTTTTTTTTTTTGTCTGAAGTAAGGAAAATGCAAAATGTATGCACTGAACGTAAAACGATCAGGGGAATGTAGAACTCCAGAGTTGGTAGTTGTGCAGCCTTTGGCGGATATCATATAAAACCTGCTGTTCTAGCGTACTAGAAGATACAAGAGAGTAAGTGTAATTACTAGATAGGTAAGCATTAGAATATCTTATAAGAAAAATAAGAAGGGCATACTACTTTGTGTTACTGACACTGTTATTAAAATATTTTACCTTGCTCTGGTATTCATATTCTACAAAAGATGTTCTGGATGGCTCTGAAAAGCCATGATTAGAATTCCTCTGAAAACAAGGTTAAGCCAATTAATTTAGCAAAGATGAAGATCAGACCATGAGCAAGTCACCTATTAATAGAATCCATGTTAGGAAGAGATTTTTGATGGTAGACCATCTTTTAATCTGAGGAGAAAACAAAACAAAGTAGTGCCTGAAGCTCTACAGATTCGAACCAGAAATAAGAGTAGACAGTGTAACCAGAGAGATCAGCAATCATCGGAGCAATGCCATGGAGGATATAGTTTTCAATTTTTTTCAGCTTGTGAATTCTTGAAATGTTTTTCAGTAGAGTGTATGCACTGCTTTTCACTAAACGTTGTTCTCTTGACAAGGTGCTTGCTTTTCTTTGCTATCTTTCCCAGATCCCCAGGTGTTGACTAACCTAAGGACATGAGTTCTTAATTGCTAACACACATTAAGTAAAAATGTACCCTTTTCTGAAAAGTATACCTAATGGAGGAATTACTGGTTAGGACCCTGTGACCTGTGTTGCACAGAAGTAGAACGAGGTTATTCTAATGGCCTCTCCTTATCCTCAAATGCATTAATATTTGTGCGGAGTTCTTTCTTTATTTACAAAGTACTCTTTGCTATCACTGTGGCAAAGCTTTTTCTCTCTGCTCCTTACTACAGGTCCCTCAGTCAGGAACATCCAACGTTTTCTTGGTCCCCTAAAAGCTTGAAGGTTTTTTTCATTTGCTTGTGATACTTTCAGGTTGTTCCCTCTCCCCTTTTTCCCCCCCAACATTTCATTTGGGATCAGTTATTATTTCTGGGTTTGACCTGGAATTTTCAGAGTCAGGATGTCGCTTCAGGTTGAATTTTTGCTGTAGTTGGAAGAAGATGGTGCAACTGCTGTTATTTTGTCCTGTAAGTGGGTTATCAGACCCTGCAAAGGAGGTCTCATCTTTCCTTTCCAAGGGTGTGTAGCAAAGCAGAAAGACGCGTTTGAAAATTAAGTGTAAATTTGATCCAAGTGAGGCCTAGAAACAATTCATCCTGCTGGGCAGCTGGTAGGGTTATTACAGCCTCTGTTAAGTTTGTGTAACATGGAAAGCACATTTCGTTTACAGCTAGAGATTCAATGTGAATTTTTGTTTTCGTACTTCCTCTTCCCACCAAAGACAGATACAGGTACCAAACAGGCTAAAAATAGATAGTTGGCTATACGTGCACAAACTTTAGAATGGACTTCCCTCCCTCCCTTATATTGTTTTAGTTAAAAATTACCTAGGTAGTTGGCTTTACTTTCTTTCTGATAAATAAACCTGTAATACTTGTAGCTGTGCTCATCATGATTTACAGAAAAGGGCAAATTTTAATTGCTAAGATAAATTGCTGTTCTGTGACTCAGCAAGCACATTAAATACCTTTGCTACTTGCGCAGTGCAAAGAATAGGTTTTTAGAATTAGCTAAGCAAAGAAATCTTTCAAACCAGTGATCATATCTCTATGGCTCTGGTTGTCAGAAAATTAAGACTTTAAGAGTTGACAGAATATGTGGTGTCATTACCCCCTTTAAAAACAAAATATTTTCTGGACAGATTGGAAGAAAAGAAAAAAAAATCAGTTCTCCTTCTGGAGCTGCTCTTGACATGTTTCTTGGAAGTTGTTTATGTAAGTGAAGCTGTCTGGTCTCACAGAGATCTTTTCAATCACGTTTGGGTGCACTCTGTGGGACAGCGTGTCTCACATGAATGCTTCTGTATAGGAAGGTGAAAGAACAGAGTGTAATTCCTGTCTCTAGTGCTTATTTGTCTTTAGTGCCATACGTATTAAAACCTACATACTATATTAATTTATATAGTTAATAATAAATAACCAATATATAATTTTTCTGTACGTGTGCGGAGTGCACATGTGCAGGAATGTCTTGAGATTCCATATACGATTTCTTAGTAAATTCTCCAAATATTTGCAGATAGTGTAATAAATGAGATCATTATACAATATTTTCTTTACATGGAGAAAGGCCCATGGGCCTTGTACAGGTTTAGTCTTGCAAGCGGTTTCAAAATGCCATTCATCTTTACATATATTTCTTTACACAGCAATTCTAAGTTGGTGTTTCTTACTCTTGCAGTGCTTACCAAATGAACATTTTAAAAAAATTTAGCCAAAAAAGAACCGTAGAGCACTCTACTGCTCAGAAGAAGCTGTATCTCCTTTTTTCTTTGACTCTAGTTAAACTGTCACTGGAAGGTAATGAAGTTTTGGCAATACGCTATTAAAACCGGATGTGCTTAGCTAAAAAGAAGCTGTATTTTATAAGTTTATTTTGATAGCCTGTAGGTGGAAAGAACAGTTGAGCTCACACTTCTCAAAATATCAGTTGATTGCTGTACAGTACCTGTTTGTCTGTCTTCTGATTGGGTAGAGCTGTTGCTGGGCTGATATTGTTTTGACCAAAATTAGAAAGTCAATATAAACGAGTCAGACTAGACTGCCTGCTTTTTTCAGTTCTCTCTTCTGATTCATCAGTTGTTTGTTTCACATTCTTACAGCCCTTGTGAATTGGGGATTGCGCCAGCAAAGGTGGAAGCTCTTAGTGGTTAGTCAGTAGGAACGTTCATAAAAAATTTGTCTTGATGGCATTTAGATGCAAGCAAAAATAATGATGCCTCGTTAAAAAAAAAAAAAAAAAGAAAAGAAAAGAAATGGGTCCTACAGATCGATTGTGTTAAATATATGGATGAGAGAACCTATTCCTGTCTTAGGAGACCGCCTGCTTCACTAATTCAGGAATAGCATTCATCTTCTGGACCTTAAGTGGATGTTGCTACCAGTGTCTTGTGGCAGAGGCTTGACACCTGAGATTTATTGGTGAAGTCATGTATGAAAGTACAGAGGGATTCACTGGTTACCTTCAGTATTAATATGTATACTTTAACAAGTTGGACTGTGCCTGGTTAATTTATGTTATTAATACCATGTAGGATTAGACTAACTGTGTACGTTATTGTTGTATTTGAAGAAAGATACCATGTAAATTGTTTACCAAAATGCTGAGTTATGTGCAAGTACAGCAGTTTAGCAGCTAAGGAGAGACTTTTGTGCCGTATTTGAAAAAACAGTGTTACTTTACTTGTACTGTTAAGATAAAACCTATGGACTTTTCTCTTTGGAAATGAGTAGGTTCTGATGCCAGTGACAAGGAGGGAAATATGTTATTCTGTTTATACTGGGATTAGTTCAGACTTTCAGATTTGTTTTTTTTCCTTCCATACAGGTGAGTAAGAAAAAGATGGGGATGTTATTGAAGGCCAGTTCAAGTAAGATCAGCTTCTGTTGCCAAAAAACTGTTCTATCTCAGTATGTCCAAAGTGAAACAATGAGAGATATAGTGCTATATTCCACTAAAGGGCAGGAATAAGAGTGCTTCAAGAGATCAGCTTGGTTAAATCATGCAATCTCGAGATAACATAAAATTAGAAAGCAGGTCTCATTTTCCAATAAGAATAAAAGAGTTGCAAGAAGATGTAAAATCAAAAGCAGAAAAAACAGAGCACAAAATGAGATGCAACTAGAAAGGGACTTGAAAAGGAAGAGAAGAAGTGTCTATGGTATATTAATAGTAAGAAGACAATAAGGAAATAACTGCTGCAGTTTTCAGAAGAGGTTGAAAATTATTGACAGATGATACTGTGAATATTGAAGAGCGGAATGCCTTTTTTCCTCCTTTTTCTGAAAGGCTTGAGTATGATCAAATGACTAACCCCTATTGCAGCCTGAGTTCTTTTATCGCTAAAGAATGAACTAGAGTACGCTTAAGCATCTTCAGCACAGCTAGGCCTGATCAAATTTACTCTTTGGTACTTATAAAAGGGCTAAAAGGGGTAATGTCTCTGGAGTTTTTGAGAAGCTGTGTATGATGGCATGGTTGTATGTCACCTCCCTAGAAAAAGGAGAAAGGGGAGGAATGGGGGAATAATACACCAGTCAATTTAGATGAAGTTTCTGTTGAAAATCCGGAACGCATACTTCAGCTATCTATAAGCAATTGGACTTAAGAAGGAGATAAGTAAGAGCTAACACAGATTTAACAGTAACAAATCAAGGTGAAGTAGTTTATCTTCTATAGCAGGCAACAGATTTAATGAATTTCAACACTTAAGATTGCTCAAAACCTTTTGAAGACTAATATGGCCTAGAGAAAAGGGGAAAGTGGTCTATGGCCGTCACAGCTGGCATTTGCTTGCTTGAAAGATTAGTAAGCTCTGGCTCATATGATTGTTCTAGTTATATAAAGATTACTGTGGACTTGATAAAAATAGATTACCTATACTAAACATCTCATTAGTAATTACTGCAGTGCTGTGCTAGGCCTATCTGTCAACTGTTTTTCATTTCTTCTCTAAGCTGGGTTATGAAAAATAACATACTTTTTTCCTAGTTGCCTTATTTAGCATTCCTTCAGGTATTTTGGACCTGTTAACTGAATTGTAAAGCAAATGAAATACCTTCTTCTTAAGCAGCTAATAGCTTCTAATTGTTTCCCTTGTAATATGATTTATTTATTTTATTGCAGGATTTGGTTGTCCGTATTGTCTTCATTCTTGGGAATTTAACAGCAAAGAGTAACCAGGCTCGCGAACAATTTTTTAAAGAAAAAGGAAGCGTTAGCACACTGATGTCATTATTCGAAACCTACTGTGAACTTGATTTGAATGCAAAAAAATGGAACCATGAAAGAGGAGCAGAAGAAAACAAAAACCAAAAACATCCTTCAGAAGCAGAAGATGTTCTTATAAAGCTGATAAGAGTGCTGGCCAATCTCTCAGTTCATCCCAGCGTAGGAGCAGCTCTGGCAGCTGCTAATCATGTTGTGGAATTACTTGTTATGGTACTAGGTAATAAAACCTGCATGGTGTGCGTTATGTTTGTTCAGTCTATATGGAAAGATATCCATTCAAGATTTCACTTAACCTTCTTACTTAGAGTGAGCCGTAACCAAATTGGTCCTGTTAGGTAAACCAATGGTTTGCTAAAACAAAGTCAGTCTGCTGATCCTCATAAACTGCACTATGTAGGAAGCCTGTCCGAGACAGTGGAAGCATTGCTTCTTCAGTACTGACTTTTCAGTGTCTAGGGGAAAGAGGCTGTGAAAGCGTTTCATTCAGTGGTAAGATTTGCAGATTTGGTCATTAAGGATAAGCAAACTAGAATTTTATTTTAAATATGTCTCGCTCTGAGAGTTCATATTATAAGAGGCATCTGTTCTTATCAAATGCTATATAAATGTAATGGGTTTTCTGTTTTTAAGGTTTGCAGTTTTTGTGACTATTCTGAATTGAGTTTTTTTTTTTTCTTCCACTTTCACCTATTACTTTTAGCCTCCACCAAAAACTTCCTGTCTTTTTTTTTTTTTTTGAGGTTTGCAACCTTCATCTCTTTTTGGGTGGGAGGTATTATCACTTTCCCTCCAACCTGGGGTTTAGGACTGCAGTTCCTTACCACTCTCTGTTCCCTTTATAAATTTAATTGTAGGCTAGGGCTGGGGAGTCTTCTCCCAGTAACTGACTTCAGCAGTGGTGAGATAACTTTCACAGAACTCGGTATTTTTTAGTATATGATGAGAACATTAAATATTATGTAAAAATAATCAACCTACTTGTGTGCTAGCTTAGCTGTGTTACCCACCAGGCCTGTGGGATTCCAGATACAGACAGCCAAGTGCATAGATTCTTTCTTATACCCTTTGAGAGTTTCCCAGGTGAGAAGGATCTTAATCTTTTTTTAAGGGCTTGTGAGCCTCACATCTTGTCTCCGGCCCCCTCCCTTCTTCCTGAGCACCGTTTCAATTTGTTTCTCACAAAATATTCTCTCTCCCTATGAACTAAACCTCTCTTTTAATTCCTTCACCCTTGGTTTCTGAGGCATCCTGAACCAGATGAGTCAGTATAACCAATTTTTAGACTTACCAGTGTACCAGGAAATTTGACGTTGATTAACATTCCTTCTGTCAGGAACTCTTAAGAGAGAGAATGTTTCAAATATTGTTAAAGTGGTGGGATTTTTTTTTTTTTTAAATGTGTCATAGAATCTGACATCTCAGTGTAATAGTCTCTGGTATCTTTCTCTGTCAGCAGTCTGATAGCACAGGCCTGTTCGTGCACACCGACTCTTTTCAGTTCTTTTCAGCGACTTTATCCAGAAGGGAAAGTTTGAGAGTCCATGAGAGAAGTTTGAATGAGATTGAATTTTTGAATTTTAAGAGTACTGGTCCAGTTGATTGAAGCAGCGGCCATGTTACCACAGCTTTAACCCTTTATGGGTCTGGCAGATTGGGAAGTGTGTAGCTGTCCTAGTTCCGCAATCATGTGACCTATGAGTTGTAATACCTTTCTAAGTTTGACTGATGTCATATACCTATACATATATATTTTTTTCAATATCAGAATACAAGTCAGTTGCTGACTGTGAGGAGCTGGTTATCAATGCTGCAGCAGCAATCAACAATTTATCCTACTACCGAGTAAGGAGTTCTGCAGTTGAAGACAAGAAGCTACATATTGCGGAAAGTAAGGACTTTTAAGTCAGTACCTTTTGTCTAGATTTTTTGAAAGTGGAAGTTATGTGTGGTGGACTTTGACACTACAGAAATTAAAGACACTGATAGTATTTTATGGTATTGTAGTGCAGGAATAAAAGTTTCATAAATTCTTCCCATAGCAATTTCGAATTCTTTTGCACCATAATTCTGTGACTTGTGTGGAAATATTTGGATGGTTGACCAAAATTCTTCTTTTTCCTCCCCCCAAGTGATTTACCATGTTGTTTTCTGCATAGCAGCTTTTGCTAGGCTTGTTCAAAATCCATATGCCTGAACCAAAGTAATCATGTTGCTTTTTACATCTAATCTGAGCTACTTCATGTATGGTAAGATTTTTTTTTAATCTTCTTACTACCTTCTAGACCTCCAACTCAGATTTATATCTGCAACATATTTATTTCTGGCTTAGAAATCCTTTGCCAGTGTAGGAATGGTGTGAGTCCCTCCCACCTGTCAATAAGGATAATAATCACATTTTAGTGATGTGTAGGAGCTGCATCTGAGTTCTGGTTCCATTGTGTTAGTGTTATATAAAAGATAGAGAGCTTCTGCCTTGAATGCCTTACTCTCTAACTAGATGAGATGTGGGGGAGAGAGAGAGAGGCTGAGGTTTGCTCAGCAGGCACAAGTGAGGAATAGGAAAAAATATTCTGTCTCTCAACCTAGTGCCCTGACTGCTTGATGTTACTTACTTCCTTGCTAGGTAACAGTTCTGCTGTTGTGTCATGAGTCATTTTATTCCCCATAAGCCAGCTACCTCTTAATGCCAGTTGGAGAAGTATGAAAAACTTACTTTATCATAGACAATGCCTTACTCCTCTCCCTTCCACTCTCCTTCTCCTATTTTTATTGTTAGCATGTGGTGTCAGTCCCATCAGCTTTCCTCTATCTGAACTAGAGGAAGATCAAGAAAACCTTTTGACGAAAAACCATCAGGTTTCTTCCTGCATTTTGAGAATACTTGCAAGTGGGTGGATCTCAAAGACAAAAAAATAATCATTTCACATGTCTCTTCAAGACAATTCAAAGCATGTTCGGTATCGCAGCATTCAAAGAAGGAAATGATGGGAATGAAGGCCATGTCTTTTCTCTCTCTTTTATTTTTATTTTTTTTTTATTTTTATTTTTTTCCTCCTCTTTCTTCTCTGTGGTGGAAGGATTAAGGGTTCACTGTTCGAGTCATTTACATGATGGATTGATTTCAGTCGTTCCCTTCTTCATCACAGAAGACTGGGAAACATGATTTCCATATCACTCCCTTGCCATGCACAAAAACTTACATGATGGTTCCCCTTCCTAGGGAGTGCTGAAGTCTTTGTTTCTGGTGAAGTTACATGCTACTGGTATGTGAAACTGCTGAGCAACAAAGCAGCAAGCAAGCAAATGCTTCAGACCAGGAGCAATATTAAGTAGCTGTTCAGAGAAAATGTATTTGCCTGTTACAGCGGCCCTAGGAGAAAGTAGGACTAATGTCAGCAAATTGTTTGAGTTTAAGGAGACTTCCTACCATAAAGCCCTCTGTTGAGGGTCTAATCACTTCTCTCATACACTACAGCATATTTTTTCTTCTTTATCTTCCTGGATTTTCACATGAGCCTACTCAAAACTGTATAGCAAAAGTGTTGTCCATTATTACAACTGTGCTTAGGCTATCTTCATAACTCCTCAACAGTTCCTTCTCTTTTAGCCTTCTCCTCGGAGCTCTATGTTTCATCTTCAAAGCCTCACACAATTTAGCTGTTGTTCTACCATCTGTTCGCCTCCTTCACTGCAACCAGAGAGATGACTGTTCACATTTATTACATTTATTTGTTGCTGCTTCCATTCTGATATTTATTGATAAAAAAGCCAAGCATGTGTCTGTGATGTAAAAGTAATTGTTTTTATTTCATTTCTCTACAAACCAATAGTTCTTTTAAAGCTGTTAATGAGCAACAGTATGGATGGAGTTGTGGAGGCTGTAAGAGTCTTTGGCAATCTTTCCCAGTATCATGAGATATGTGACTTCATCATACAGAAAAAGAGTGAGTTACTTTTGCATTTGTAGGAATGCAGTTTTTCAATGTCCATAGTTCTAAAAACAAAAGATTAGTAATCAGCTGTCACAGTTGAAGGACAAGAACAATCTTACCTCATTGTAAATGATGCAAATCTTAGAATCAAATAGCAGTCATTATAAACACATTTTTTTTCAGTTTCATTAAAATGGAAATAATTGGAGTAGGAAAAATGCCACTAACATGTGCCTTTATGAAGGCAAATGCTACAAAGAACTATTTTTCCTCAAAATAATAATTTTTAAATTTCCATTCACTCTGTCTATTCCTCAAGTCCTACAGATAAGTAGTGATTTGAAATGAAATGAAAATCCAACTTAACTCTCATTTAGGTTCATAATTACAAGTTTTTGATTCTCATTTTGATAGTTTATAGTACTTTGTAACATGCTTTTAAGACGTTTGACTACCTCAGCAAATGTACCTCCTATTTGCCTCTGGGTAAAGTAGTTTACGAGCCTTTTCAAGTGCTTTTCCTTTTAGTGTCTGAAGAGCTTTGGGTAACATGGCAGCTCCTTGCTGTCTAGAAGTAGTGTGTTATAAAAGTTTGTTTAAACATCAGTTTACTATAAGTTTTTTGCATCTGTCTGTTGGTGCTCAAAGTGAGGTGATATGCCAGAATATATAACCCCTTCTTTCAAGGGCAGATGTATCGCTGCTTTTGGAGGAGAAGGGCCTCTATAAGCAGTGGAAGAACTGATACTGGGTAGCTGGTTGCTAATGAGCTGTCTCAGTTGGAGGGTAGAATTTTCCAACTTGGAGAGGCCATGCTGTTGGAGCGCTGAGCTCAGAAAGAGCCGAGAGGCTGCCTCTCTGCTAGGAAAGACTGACTCCATTGCTGGGGCTGTCTTCCACTCCGTATGGACTTCAGAGTCCAGCAAGCGCTGCAACATGCAGCAAGTCTGGAACCATTTGCTTCTTGCCTGTGTCTTGCAGGAGTCTCGGGCTGCAACAGTCCTGCTGGACTTGACGCAGTCTAAGACAGCTTGGTGAATGCCAAGTGCTAAATCCACACAGCTTCTGCTGAATGTGCTCTTGAAGGGAGAGTGATACTTTGGAGAAATAAGCTTTAATCCAGTTTGGTCATATTATCTCTTCTAACTGAATCTTCATATTACCTTGGTGTGTTTTTATGGCTAGTTAGAACGTTGTCGTTTTTGAACTGAAGAAACTGGTGTTCAGCATGGTGTAATGGCTGGTACTGTCTCCTGTGCCTATTCTGGCAACTTCACAGCAATAGGCTGCCACGTTAAGTTTTTGGGTAGTGTATCCTGATTCAGTGAAACACATTTGACTACTTTCTATGTATACATGTTCAATTAGTGTGTTGTAATGCCACTTGTATCATAAGTCCATCTTCTCAGTAACTTTGTTTCCTTCCTTACAATCCAGTTTACAAGTTCATGATTGCTTTACTTGATGCCAAGAATCAAGATGTCTGCTTTTCTGCCTGTGGAGTTCTGCTCAATATCACTGTAGATAAGAATAAACGAGCTCTCCTGAAAGAAGAGGGAGGAATTAGGAAGTAAGTCCCTGAATACATTTACAAAAAACACAAGTTCCAGAAGTGTGGACTAGGGATTTCAGGCAGATTCTGTCCCTCTGGGGCCAATAACTTGTAAAAGGGATACATACTGAATAAATATGCATAATATTCTTCAAGAGAGCTTCATATTCTTCCATCATTTTTTGGGGAAAGCATTATAGAGTGTTTGATCTACTGCATCACCAAAAACCATGGAATGCGCTCCCAAAGATCCCTGTGATGCATACAGCAGAGGAGAGTACCGTACAACACAGTAACTAAGACGTGACTTTGCAGTAGCTGCCTATGTATGCTTAACTTAACTGGATCCTATGAGGGCGAAATCTGCAGTTAATAGACGCCATTAGTGTGCATGTTGCAAGCATGAAGATTACTTCAGGAACTCTTTTACCTTGTATGATCTCTTGCAATTTTTGTGACTACTAAGTTGTAGCTATCCAAGAGTACTGCTGGGAGAACTATGTGTTGTGGCCATGTTCAGCACAGAATAGCTTCTGGATCTCCTCTAAAGCACTTATATCATAAGTGGTATTAGATCTTGAAAAACTGCTGTGGATACAACGCTTGTGGCTTTGATGTTCAGTTAATAGCGGATCCAGTTTAATTGGAGCAACATAAAAGATCTTATTCTGATGCTTGTAAAGTTGTTGATACAACCCATGTTTATGAAACAATGTGCCTAACTTTGAAATGCTTTCAGGTTCATACACCATACAATTACTTCTTTTATGCAGTGTAAACAGGGCATAGTGTGTGTATACATGTTTAGTTAGTATGTCTTTCCTTCCCATGTTCTGTTTATTTTGCAAAATTTGAAAGTTGAAAAACAAAAATAAATTGCAGGCTAATTGAAAAATAAATGTGAGAAATTTCTGTAACACAGGATTTTCTGTGTGCTTTCTGAAAATTTTTGTGGAGGGAAGGAAAAATAGCAACAATATGAAAAAAATCTGCAGAATATGGAAGTGACTGTTAAGGGGGTCATCCTGACTGTGCAAAACCAGCTCTGTGGATATTTAGAAATGAGGTTATTGTACAAATATGTAGTGGCCCCGATAAAACATAGAGTTAGTCTCATCAGAGAATTAAACGTCAAAAAATTAGGGTAAGCTCTTTTCTCTCTTGCCAGCCTTCAACAGTTACTGCCTTCAGAGAGGAGAGAAGAGGCAATTGGCCTCTTTTTGGTTGCCTTTCAATTACTGATATTTTTGAACCATACCTGAATGTAATAGGTATGCTGTGTTCCCTTGATTAATCATCCCAGATTAATAAATCCCAGATTGATAAATCTCCCAGTAAATTAGGGAAGGGAGAGAACGTGGGGGTCACGCAGTGAGAAAGAGAACAGCAGTCAAAGGATTACTATTGGAGAGATCATGAGGGACAGCAGGTGAAGAATAACGTTCAGTCCTGCTGTCCCAGGACTTGTAAATACTGCTGTTTGGTTATGTGAACACTTTATGTAAGTTGGTGCAGGCATTTAATTTCAGAGTCCTGTTTATGATATCAGTAGACTGCATTTGGTGTCTGCAAGGAAGTGACACATTGGGAGAAAGGTTAAGAATTAATAGTCCTTAATAAAACTGGCACTTTTGAGAGGAATCAATTGGGAACGCAGGTTGAAGGATTACAACGAAAGAAGGGACAAGATCTGCAGAATGGGTGAGACTTCAGTGAATGTAACATGCAATTCTCTGAGTCGTGGAAATAGCGATAACATCTGTTTTCTTTTGGATTTATGTCTTCTGGTTACATTCTCTGATATGTTAATAAGCTGGAAGTTCTGACTGAAACCTTTTCTTAATTCATATCATCTCATTCCTGGGTGGACTCTTAGTGCCTGATAAGGTTTGGTTCATGCTGCAGTTTCTCTTCTAGTGGTACTACAGATTAGGGCCAGTCACAGATTGTCATGACATTTGTTGGAATTTATTATATTTGAGATACTAAACTTTTACGTTTTTACTTTATGTTTTTAAAATATTTTTGAGATGGTTAAATGAAACGATGATGAAATGAAACGATGACTGAAATTGGTCAGTTGGGTTCAAAAGTTATTGGAGGTGGGCAGGCAGGCATATATGCGTATATAGACAAAAGGCATGTTCACATCCTCAGGGAGCTAGACTAAATGAAAGAGGGAAAGTTCCCGAGGAAAAGAGAAGTATCTTAAGTTTATTAATGTAGATTTTTCTGGAACCATTCATGGAACCTGTACTCGTTTCTAGGCTGCCTTGGTTTTGAAGGGCTCAAGAGCATTGAGCAAAACACTGTTTTTTGTTTGATTTTGACAGGTTGGTTGACTGTTTACAAGACTTTGGGCCAGCAGACTGGCAGCTGGCTTGTCTGATATGCAAAACGCTGTGGAACTACAGTGAAAACATCACAAGTGCAGCCTCATGCTTTGGAGAAGATACCAACACACTTCTAGAGCTGCTCACATCACTCTTGGGTGAGATTTACAACCGTAGTGTCTTTTTCTTAGTAAGAGAAATTGAAGGAGAAAATCAAGCAGTACTGTTTGGGTGGAAGCGCGGCTTAAAGGGGTTGGCCAGCAGATATTATGGCCATTCAGCATGTTGCCTCAGGTTTTACAGATTGCCAAGGTGGAATTGGCTGCTGTCACTCCTGCTCCAGTTTGTCCCCTTAGCATGCCAGTAACGCTTTCCACCAGCTGCCTCTTTGCGTGCTTGAGCCAACTACCCTGTAGACTTTCGATGCAAACCATACTTTTCACTGGATGTGGGCCCTGCTGGCCTCAAAAGTAATTGCAGGGGTTTACAGAAGCAGCAGCTCTGCTTTGATGCCGCTGGTTACTGCGCAAAACAGGCAGCCTGGGAGTGTGGCGATTCCCCTCAGCTGGAGGCCACATGGTGCAGAGCTGGCTGCAGGTGATAAGGGTCCTGTGGCTGGCTGCCCTTCTTCTCTCACCACGGTCTCCCCGTGTGCAAGGATATCCTTAAAATTTCACATCTTCTCCCTGAAGACGAGGAGGGTAAAAATACAGGTTGGAAGGTGCCTGCAAGTGAGTGTTAGGGCTGTGCTTTACTCACCCAGTTGACTCTTTTCATCTGCACATTTATGTTACACAGCGATTACACTCTGTAAAATCCAAAGGTAATAGTTCCATAGTCGCTATATTTAATCTTCCTGCTCTAGTTTATGAGCACTGCTTTGGCTCTGATTTTACTTTGGATATGTCATTTGCAATTACCTTTTTTAAAAAAAAAGAACTTTAAAATTTAAATGAAATTGAAGCAAGCCTTAACTGATTTTACTTTGTTTTTAATTGAAAATTTACCAAAGATTTATGCTTGTTGTGGGGAAGACTGCATGTTAGTCAGAAAGTGAAAGTCCCCCCAGTCTGTTTTGTGCTTTGTTTGGACAGTTAAAAAAGTGGGTGGTTTTGTGATAATACTCAGCATTTTAAGATCATTAGTGTCCTGTTTAACATGCTGCAAAAGAACTATAAACAATCAAGTCACAATCATGCTTGAATTTTCTGGCATGCAGCAAAGAATATAGATCTTCATTTCAGGTAATTCTTAATGTTACTTATTTTTTCCTCTACATTTAACGCTGCTTCTCCCACCAATTAATCAGATGGCAGAGTCCAGGCTGGGTAGTAACTGGAACTTCATTAATTTGTGCCACTCATGAATTGGAAGGTCATGTATAAGTGCCAGTCCAGTTACAGGCTGATAATGATACTTAATTAAAAATGCCAGAATTATATCAGAAGGCGAGTCTTCCTGTAGAAAGAGCACATCTTACTCATCAGATCTGCTTCCTCTATGTGTTAAAAGCCAACAAATTTTTAGTAATAGCAGCTGGTTAATATTGTCCTGCATCCTCCTCCTGCCATTGTATCCAGTAAATAGCCTTGAACTGTCTTTGCTCTGATTCTATCATTCAGGAAGCAGGAGTCAACTTCTGACAGTTGGTGCACTGTACTTCAGCACCAGCACACCCTCTTTGAATGTGTAGGAAGCTGAAAAAATGGAGCGTGGGACTGCAGACACTTCAGATCACCTGCTCTCCTTAGGGCTTCCCTGTCCTCCCCGCGCCTTTTTTTTTTTTTTTTCTTCCTACCCTGGAGCAAGATGACAGAGGATATAATGAGGAATCCGATAGGGAGAGAAAACAGCCCAGAAAGGAGATTTGGGGACCAAGGAAGCCTGGACAAAAAGCGTTGTTCCTTTTTTCTCTTCCCCTGCCTGATCCCAGCAGCCTGAGATGCAGCAGCAGACTGCTCTCCAACAACACTGTCATTGGCCTTCCCTCAGGAAGAGGGATTTTAGCTGCCCTTGAGTCTCATGTCACTTTGTTGGCTCAGAGCATCTTGAGGCCAATATTTCCTTGCCCTGCACAGCAGCTTTGCCTTGACCCGTTCCCTCAGGAGCAATAGCAGAGATCAGCCTCAGTCTTGAAAACATCTTTCTGTATGGACATTCAGTGCTATTTGGTGTATAGGGCACATTTCTGTCTCCTTCCTCACTCTTTTTCCAGACTTCTCTTCTGCTCAGTTGTCCCTTCACTCTTAATTCCAGAAGAATATTTTGGGGTCTCGACACATGTCAATTCTTACAGAGCATGATTAAACTAGCTTCCAGGGCTTATGCCCCTGTCTTGCCTGGGGTTATAGGCATGGGTAGTCCTCACAGATTAAAGTCTGAACTCTAGTTTTCAGGTTTCCCTATAACATGCAGACCCAATGTTCTTGTCTTGTTCCTGGGCTTGCAGCTGGTTCATATGCTGCTTGGCCAGTGCCCAATTTGGCTAGTTTTGAGGAGAGTCCTGAGTAAGTTAAATTATCTGAAGAAGCACAGCTTGCATGTGGGACACTGATGCTCACCAATCCCCAGGGTTGCTCAGATTCTGCTTTGGGAAATTTGCTGTTTTGGTTCAATCCGTAAGCTTCTGAACTGGTTCTGCTCCTTGTTCTTGTGGATGGCTATCGGTATCACCAGCGTCGGTGATTCCATATTTTTGGCCTACGGGCACTCCATCAACATCTGTCAGGCACAGCTGTCTAATAAAAAGGAGAAATGTCTCTTCCTGTGTGTTAGAAGATAATGAATTTGGGTATGAAAACCATTTCAGGAGCAGGCAAAGCAATTCTGCCTGAAAACAAAAACTGTAATCCCTTATCCTCCTCTTCAGGGTCTATCACTTATTTCTCTGCTGCTGAGATTAATTTTGCGAATGTTGGGGTATGGTGCCATTGATAGGCCAGGAGCCAATGGGCATGAATTGCAAGTTGCAACAATTCCAGTTAAATATTAGGAAAAAATGTTTTGCCATGTGGGTGGTCAAGCACTGGACCAGGTTGCCCAGAGAGGCTGTGGATTCTTCATCTTTGGAGAGGCTCAAAACTCAACTGGATGTGGACCAGAGCAACCTGATCTAAATTGACTCTGCTTTGGGCATGGGTTGGCCCAGGTGTCCTCCGGAGGTCCTCTCCAACCCAAATTATTCTGTGATTCATTGAATATGGATCTGATGTCTTAGGCTGGATTTTTATCTCCGATTACAGGATTTCTTCCTGCAGAGAGAGGACATGTTTCCTTCTTGAAGGAATGCTTTTTGTCTTTTTTTTATTACAAAAAGTCTCTGCTGCAAATTACATCTTCTCTTTATGCGGAGTCCCATTTTAGACTAATGTGTTTTGCCTTTGGAATCTACTTCACAATCAAGTCTCTCTGTAATTTCACTGATTGAGAAACACTCTTTTTAGTAGCATGGAGGTCAAAGTGCTGTTTGCAGTTGCTGGGAACTTTCTGTGTGGTGGTGCCCATTGCCATGTAGGAGTAATGTAATCTCTTCCTTTATAGCTGTTACAACTCGGGCCATGTGCTCCACATAAGGACCATTTCATTCTTTTAAATGTTAATAATTGCTGTTTGAGTATCTTTTATTCTAAATAAAGTATGACTCCAAGTGTAGGTAACTGAAGTCTCTCTTTAGCTCCAATTTTGTCTCTTTCTTGCTGTGGATGTGCAGTAAGCTCTCTTAAGGAGTTATTTATTTAACAGATTGTGAATTTGGTGCTCTTCCGTAGTCTAGGACAAAGATAAGTCACGCTCTCCGTTGGGTGGAGGATTGTACTTTTAATTTTAGGTCAGTTTATAGCTTGAAGGCTGTCCAATATCCTTTCTCTTGAACTGTGTTAAGCTCTGGTCTTTAAAATATTTGTTCACCTTTATCAATTGTATTTGCAAAGTAGATTCCTGATTCAGGAGCATGCTTCTAGTTGCAGACTGATCTCTTTCTTCTGTAAGAGTTTGGTTTTTTGCCACATGCAACGCCCAGAAAAATGGAGGAGGAAGAACATGTGTAAAGCCAGATGACTTCCTTTCATTCCTAACTTTTCTTCTCTCTCTTAAGATTGTCCTATTATTTTTATTTATGAAGTGCGTGAGGAAGAGAGGACATCAGTATTATATTAATTAACATGGTCCAAGTGCTTTAGGTATGATGGCGGATATAGTTTGAAGCAGACTACACAAATCATATTAGGAAAGTGATTTGTAACAGGAAAAAACATAGCTGTAGTTAGATGAATTGGATTACTTACATTAGCAAAATTTCTGTGGATAATGTTCACACTCAGGTTTGTCTGCAGGCTAACAGTGACAATAAATGCTTGACCTTAGACATTTATCTTTGCTATTACCTTTGAGGTGTGAGAATAGTAGAACGCGGAACAACTTTTTTACTGTTTTTGTGACCCTAAAATCCTTTATTTTCAAATAAAGCTAAATTCCTTAGAAAGTGAGGCTTAGTTTAATTTAAACATAGAGTTGCTTTTAAACCAAGAACATATACAACTGATCAATTGCATGTGTTGTAGTCATAAAATACATAGTTGTGTTTATTGAAAACTGGTAATGATATTTTCCTTGATTACAGATGAGGAGCTATCATTGGATTACAGCCTCAACAGAGATTTAAGGGACTACCACAAAATATATTGGGAAACAGAATTCAAACCTGTAGCAGAAAAGCTTCTTGATAGAATTCAAAGCCATCATCACTCCTCCCAACTATGACCATTTCTCCATTTTAATCAGAGGTTGGCTAAGGAGTACTTAAAATAGCTGAAATTTTTGTAGGTAATAACATAAGATAGAGGCAAATAATATACAATAATATATTTAAAACAGCTGCACAGTAATTTTTTTGTGATGTAAATTGTACAGTTATATATTTCTAATACACCTGTACATTGTCATTGGTAAACATGTTGGAGAGCATGGGAAAAATTAATTTTAAAGGAGTAAAATTTGACATTTATATACTGGATTCTGTTTTTTGAGAAACTTTTATGAAATTTTTGTGTGTGTAATTCTTATAGTATGTTTGAACTTATCAAGGAACTGTTCAATGTGATTTGTCTAATAATTACATTGTTTCTTTGCTGGCTAAATGAAACAAAGCTTCTAATTTTAAAAGGTAAATTACCATTGGGTACCTGGATCTCTGTGGTACCAAAGAGCTATGTATTTTAAAAGAATGTTTTATGATATGGTCCACATCTACCTACAGTCTTTGACATACTCTTTTGTCTTTTACATTTTATTTTTTTATAAAATTCTGCCCCACTAGCATTAGGGTTATTCTGTTGCATTCTGGTGTATTTTATTGTGGTCTTTCCTCCTGACCACTGAAAACGTTTGTGAAAGAGTGAAGTTGTTCTCCTTCCCTTCAAGGAGAAGCCTTTCTTTATGGATACTGTGTGGCATCCCAGGGCATCCCAGCTTCCCCACTGGGGCTCTTGGGATACATACATACATGCATACATACATACATACATACAAATATATATATAAAAACATACATGTCCAGCTGTGCTGGAAAGAGGCGTCTTTCCATGTTGGGGCTTTGCGTCTTAAGGCAAAACACCATTACCCTAACGTCAGACTTCAGCTAGTCTGCTGTGTTCTTCTTTCAGTTCCTTCATTGCCCGGGAGCTGCACGTGTGCCAGTACTTTTCAGGCTTTCTGGGCCAGCTGTCTCTGCTGGGCTTATGTCTCTGTCCAAGGGGAGTCCCACACATCCTTTACGTTCCTTCTGGCTGCTTCTGGCTGCTTGTATTGTTCAGTTTTTATCCTTGCAGTGTGTAGAAGTCCCTGTTTGTAGCTCATGAATTAGTTCAGCAAGTGCGTGACCGGCCTCAGGCAGTACCAGCCCAACTGGCTACTCAAAGCTTTACAGGCCTGACCCCATTTGTCTCTTCTCCTCCCTCAGATTACTGCTGTGCAGTGACTGTTGGGCTCCTGGCTCTTATCCCAGGGGTCAGCAGCCTCACGCTGCACTGTGTGTGCCAGGAGGGCAAGTCTCCAGCCTGGCAATTACTGCAGAGGCTGAATAAATTTGTTTTTCTGAGGCAGCAACTCCGAGCTCCTTTCATGGCTCCAATGTCATGTTTGGCAGGTCCAGGACCTGTGCATACAGGTGAGGAGATGCAGTGAGCAGGCTGGGAAGCAGAGGAAAGCCCTGCAGTGAGTGACTTCTGGAGCGTGTGTAGCACTCTCTCACTGCAATCTGCAGGAGACTGCTCAGCTGTTGAGTATGATTTGGCTCTAAGAACAGCTCTGCTGAACTCAAAAAGACCTCAATTCTTATTCTTTCTTTTGCTATTTTAATTTTAGCTGAAGCTTAGGGAGAAGATAAATGGCTTCAGTGCCACATTTGCTTCTCGGAAAAGAGAATGGATTTGCTTTTAGGAGTATTAAGGAAAGGATGATGGGTAAGTATTCCCCTGTGAGAAGAGTGCTCAAGGCATTTGTTCTTGGCATTTGTATCAAGGCAAGAGGCCCGCGAACACCATGCTGTGTAATGCAGGGTGGGAACGCAGTGGAAAGGGCCATGTGGCCAAGTGCTGTCAGTAGGGCTAATCAGAATTGACAAATGCTGGAGAGGTCAGAAGGCAGCCTGGTACTGACTTTTTGCTCAAGTCCATGAGGTGGCAGTAATGTAGGCATTTAAAATCTGTTCAAAGAAAATGTTAGTTATTTCAGTCAGTACCAGCCAAACTCCAAGCAAAGGCCTGGAGTGCTGTGCGAAGCATCCTCTAACAGAAATTTGGATATTCCACAGCGGGGAAAAAAGCTGGTGCAGCCTGGCTGTTTGGCCTGTGACAGTTCCAGAAAAAGCTCATTGAGGTAGAGCAGAGAGGGCAGCAGAAGGAAGCCTTAGTGCACCTGACAGTACATCCTCCAGTGGCTCCCTGGCTTCATGTGTTTCCCTGAGCAAAACTTGTGGGTAGCAATTATGAGCTCTGAAATACTGAATTTCTGATGTACTGTTATGGCATCTTCCACCAGTTGGTTGTCTTTGCCACAAATCTCAGTTCACAAGTGCTCTTGTGCTTTCAGGAGGCCATTCCTGTTCAAGGACCCTTTTTTTTAGCTTCTGTCACTCTTATTTTTTTGTTTGTTTTTTTGGTAGGGGTCGGTAGGAGCTGTACATGCCTACAACATTTTGAAGTGAAACTTCCCTGCAAAGAGGAAGGACAGTCAAGCACTGATAAGGATGGATGTTCATTGCAACTCAGGGGGCAGAGGGATCGGCTGTGCTCCTCCAGGCACAGATTAAAAAACAAAATCCTGTGCATTTTTTTTTTAAAAAGGGTCATACATGGGGCTAGGCAGTAGCCAGCCATTTAGTTCCCTCCACTTGTGCTGCTGGTGCAGACAGGGTCTTGCCATGCTGTTGCTGGGAGGGAAGGAAGTGCAGCACCGCCTCCTTCAGTGTGTCAAGTGGCCTCCTGCCAGACTCCCCCACCTACATGTGCCCCTGGGGACAATCACCAACACTTGCCATGTCCATGACAGGTGAGGATCGGGGTGGTGGTGTGGCTGCATGTGGGCTGCTGCACTTTGCAGCTGCAGGCTGCAGTTCTGTGGGAGCCCCCCATGAGCCTCCTCAGCCCACAGCCTGCAGCAGCTGAGGGTGGCTCAAGCTGGGCCAGCGACTGAGGCAGTGCTGCCCCTCGGTCCTCATGCCTGCCATCACATTCAGCTTCTGCTGTGTGTGGTGATGGATGCTTTCATGGTGTGTCTCTCATCTATCTAGCTGATGACAGGGTTTTCTTGTTTTCAAGGCTGTCCTCCACCAACTTTTTCAGTTGCCACTAAACTTAACAGCCTTGGTCATTCTCTTTTCCTAGGGATCACAAATGCCTCAACATTCTTGGGGGGGGGGGGGTTTTTTGTAATGGGCACTAAACACTAGAGCCTGGCACAACCGCTGACAGCTCATTCATTTTGTTTTCAAACAAACAAAAGAATGAACGATCTCTGTTTTTATTGCAAGCTACCTTAAATGCAGGAGAAAAACCTTGGTACCTGTAGTCTGCCTAAGAAAAATCAGTTGGCTGGAGAGTATGGGACTACGTCATAGAAATTATGACTAGAATCACGCTGGGCTAAGTAGGAAGAACAGGTAGATGCAGGTCTCTGATGGTATCAAATTACTCTTGGTGAGAGTGGACATTCCCTAACAAAAGCAGTAGACAGGACTTTAAATCCTTTAAGTGGTCCAGTAATAGAAATGCTCAGCATTCAGTGTGCATGTTCAAGCAGGCACTGCTTTTTTTTGGTAAAAGCAGAAATGTAGCTGCTTGCTTTAATAAATTTCTATCACAAGATAGCCTGATTTTTCTGCCTTCCAATTTTGAGAGATGCCAGGTGTTTGTGCAGCAAGGTGCTGCAGAGCTCCTTAGCTGAAGAAGTCCTTTAAGTCCTGAGAGACTCCTAGCATTTCCCTTGTGTAATGTAGGTCACTGCTTATAAGTAAGTCACTTTCAAAAAACATTCAGCTCAATTCTTTCTTTCTTTCTTACTGTGTTTCTATGACTGACCAATGCATGCACCCAACTGAATGCTGTGTCTGACCATGTAAGAGACTCTCTCTGAGGCCAACCTCGGGTGCTTTTCTACTCATCTGCTTTTCTTTTTTTTTCTTTTTTTAAACAGAACGTGCATGATTAGGAGGCTTAATGTTCCTTTGTCAAGTTTGACTGGAACTAGACAGTGAGTTCAAAAATTATTAGAGGAAAATCCATTAGAAAAAGTGGTATCGTCCTAAGATAACAGGGCTGATTGATTGATAGAAACCTTACAGGTCTTTTGTGTTTTCCAGTTGCGTACAATTGGGATTCTGGTTTGGAAAAGGAACTGTGTTCAGCCCAGGGTCAATCCCTGCTTTAGTCTCTCCTTTGAGGATATGAGAGTACTTGGATAAAATGCACTCCAGAGAACCTGAATGAGAGTGTACAGGGTGTTAATGTGTCAGCAGTAAAATAGCTAAAAAAAGACCCTTTCTCCAAGGTAAGTAGCTTTATGTTTAGTTCAGATTGTGTGCTTGTTGTGGTTACCGCTGAGTATGAAGCCACTTGCGCACTGCAATGTTGTGCTGCTTGGAAAGGGAGAGTATGTGCGTGCACCTGTGTGCATTTGGAGATTTTTGGCTGGAAACAGTCAGTTTAGCCTTCTTGAAAGGTTTCATGTCTACCTCTGCTGCCTTTTTTTTTTTTTTTTTTTTTAAATAGGAGAATCAGAAGCTGCAGAAACTTCATTTACAGATTAGGAATATGCCTTTTTTATGTCTTTAGGCATAGTTTAGTTTTATGATATGCCCTTAAACAGGAAAGTTTTGCTCTGTTTTTTGGAACTTTAGAAATCCTGTATTTTTAGTTAAGAGGAAATAGCAGATGCTTCCTGTTAGTCACATTTGTGACAGTTTATTAAATAATCCCTCTCCCCTAGATCATTTTAGGTATTTTGGTTTCTTGGACCGTAAGCATAAAACTGTCCTCAGAATGTTCTGCCATTACACTGGGCTTTAATTTTCAAGTACTGTTTGCTTGGACTCCTTAGGAGGAATAAGAATGGACAGTGCAGCCTCTATCCTCATTTGTCATGGGAGCAGTCAGGCAAAGTATCTCATGTAATACAGCTACCCTGGCCAGAAGCTGCCCATCTTTGTACAGGTACGCCTGCCTCCGGATAGATCCACAAAGCAACTTTGTCTTTACAACAAGCAGTTTAAGGCTATGCACATCAGGTTTGTAAGAGCCTCGCATTTGTTCATTTCTTTTTATAAATGTTCTGTTTGCATCAGAACACTGTTCTTAGTGCCATCCTGCAGGAATGGGTGACTATTCTATCTATCTTACTTGTAACAGAAACCACTTTGATCTAATTGAGTGAGAACTAGGGTCAGGGGAACAGAAGTCCTAAATTAACTCTGCATATGTGCATGGGTAAAACCCTTTCTTCCCTGCCTTACAAATAAGGCTGGAGAGATACTCATCTACCTTCTTGTAGGCAGGCAGGAGTTTCTACAACACTTGAGTACAATCCCATTGCACACTCAGCTGTAGAAACATATCCAGTGTCAGTCACTTGTTACAAATTCTTTCCCCCTCAGTACCTCTTGCCATAAACTCATCTGACTGCAGCTCTGACTATCCATTTTGATGCCAGATATCCTTTTGGCAGTAGCCCCTGAAAATTAGCAGCCTAATCTAGAACCAAGTTCATTACTGGAGGGTTTAAAAATCCGTTTAATTTCCAAGCAATATTTAAAGCTAGTTATTGAAGAGAAAAAGAGGTGATTATAAAAAAACTCCAACTCCATCACACCAGCTGTGAGGAAAGAGAGAACCTATACAGCAGCACCTGCCTGACTGTAGGATAGCAGACTATGGGAACAATGAAAACTCAGAGGGTATGGTTATACAAGGAGTTCCTTCTGTAGTTTCCATGAAGATTTAAGTACGTTTTTTAAAACTATTTCTCCCAGCATTTTAGACTCTCTTGAAAAATTCATTAGTGGGTCATTTTAAGGATGTTTGCTCAAGTTACTGTCTCAAACATTTTTAAAAGTCTTTAATATACCAGCTACATGAATAAGGCAGCATTGTAAACCAGTGAGAACAGAAGTGTAAAGTTAAGTAAAGTAACACAAAAACACCAAGAGGAAAAGTTGTTACCCTTTATTTAAAAAATACCAATAATACTGACAAATTTAAAAAGCAATTCACACTCATACAAAAGTATTCATGTGTTCTCCAAAACCACTGTATATTGAACGTCAGCATTTTAATCATGTTTTGATTTACTAAAAATAGATGTTTTTAGCCTAGTTATTTAAGCAACTGCAAAAATCAGTAACACCAGCATTGGGCATGTAATACAGTAGGCCTGTTTGGCAGTCTAGAACAACATTCCCATACTTTGTCCTAGCTCCTGGACAGGTATCAGTTCATCCTTGAAAAACAGGAGAAGAAGCTACTTGACACTTCATGTAGTTAGACATCTAAAAAGCTCCGAGGACCGAAATCCTCTTCTTTCCATAGGAAGACCATTGCACTTTGGAGCTCACCAAACAATGCTGAACAAATGTCCTATAGCATTTTAAGGCTATACTACTCGAGAAAATTGACTGCTATCTTCCAAATTGTCAGTGTGGACAGAGGAGGTTTAGTTCTGATTTAAAAAATAAAGCTAAACAACAAGGCTTTTTTTGAAACCACACACAATAAAGGCTCAGACAATAGCAGTGCTCACTTTCACTTTTAGCTTAACTGGAACAGCCTGCATCTGTTCACTCCACCAGCACAAATAGCAGCATCAAGATTTCC